CACCGAGCAGATTACGTCATAATACTCCGTTGGGAGAATATTTTTTAATTTGGTAAGCAATCCGGAGTGCCAGACTTTATCGAAAGCCTGCGAAACATCTAAAAACACAGCTGAGCAGATTTTTTTTCCTCAAGAGCTTTTTCTATTACATTGGTAATCCTATGGACTTGATCTATAGTGAAGTGATTGCACCTAAAACCAAACTGATGTAAAGGTATTTTGTTTTGACTTTCAATCAGAGGAAGGATTCTTTTATGAATGTAACATGAGTAGATTTTGTTTCATTTGCTTTCATGCGTTAATGCTGCAACCATTTTGATAGAGGTTTGAAAAAGGCTACAGAGGGATCGCTACCACTCGCCAGGATAGATGTATCATCTGCAAATGTTCCGGTTACAATTCCTACCGTCTTCAGTAACTCGTATGTGAAAAGCAGATAAAGGGTTGGACCGAGTACACTGCCTTGTGGTACTCCAGCTCTAATATCATGTAGAGAAAACATTTCATTCTCATTGTTGACATAAAAGAATCTTTTCAATAGATACGATTTTATGAACGTATAATAGTTAAGTGGCAGAAGCTTTTTACATTTGAAAAGAAGTCCTTGGTGCCATACTCGATCAAACGCTTGAGATATGTCCCAAAACGCTGTTGAGCAGTATTCTTTTTGCTCGAAAGTGGTCTGCATTTTTTCAACAATTCTATTAAATTGCTCAATGGTTGAGTGTTTTCTTCTGAATCCAAACTGGTGATTCGGAATGATTCGTTTCGACTCAATTATCGGCATAAGATGTTTTAAAAATAGTATGTCAAGAACTTTTGAAAGAATGAGAAGGAGGCTTACTGGACGATAGAATTTTACATCTTCAACTGGTTTTCCCGGTTTTAGTATCATCTTTATTTCGGCAACTTTCCATTTAGCTAGAATGCAACTTTTTAATAAGGATGCATTTAAAAGATGGGAAATAAAAATTAAGACAACATCTGGAAGTTTTTTAAGGATTTCAGCAGTTATGTCACAACCAGGTGCCTTTTGATTTTTAAGAGACTTAATAGTAGAAATTATTTCTCGATTTTTAAATTTTCTAATTGGTAACTCCATTTAGTAAGTTTCTTTCAAAAAGTTGGAAATATTGACATCTATTTCTGGATCGCCAGTCATATCATGTGGAGTAAAAACGTTTTTTAGATGGCTTGCGAAAAGTTGAGCTTTTTCAGACTTTTTTTTTGCCCAAGTATTATCTGTTTTTTTAAGTGGGGGTCGATAATCTTTTGTATTACTTAATTTTTTATTTGCTTTTCATAGAGAATAGTGAGATAAATGAGTCGTATCGAGGCTATGTAAGAACTGCTGCATATTTTGTTTCCTCTGTCGTTTCAGCAGAGTCTTAAGTAATTTTTTTAAGTTTCCTCTTGTCTTCAGGAAATCTGATACGATGCCATATTTTTTTAGCATTCCGTTTATCCTTTAGTGTTTTTGTGATCTCCCCAGTATACATTACTAGATTCTTCCTATAGACTTTTGGAGGAGCAGTCGCTTTCCATGCTGCTTCCTGAATAGATCTGGTTAGGTATTCAGTCGCTTCAATTATTTCTTCTTCGCTTTTTAGTGGCATTTTGACGTTTAGAGACGATGACAATATTGTTTCAAATATAGTCGAATTTCTTTTCTTTTTGTATAATTGACATTTTTAGACCTTGTTTCTAAGGTCTTTATCTATTATGACAATCACTGTTGAATGGTCTGATGATAACTCTAAGCTGGTCTTACACTCCACATGTTCATAAAGAAAGCCCTTGGTAGCGCAGAAATCAATAAGATCCGGCATTTTTGCTGTATCTGATGGCCAGAATGTGGGCTCTCCTGTGGAAAAAACTTTAACTTTCAAGAGTCTCACTGCTTTGTATAATTCACGTCCCTTTGTTGTGGTTAGTCGTGATCCCCACAATATATTTTTCGCATTGTAATCACAACCAGTTATAAATCGATTCCTTAATGTTGAAAAAATTTTGTGTAGATATCTTCCTTTACATTATGTTTTGGTGGGCTATGTATGTAAAGGTCTTTTATGATTGCTTACTTTTATTGTGGTAACAATCATAATATAAAAAAAACAAACCAAAACTATTTAACAATATAACAACAATATATAAAAGAATATGTATATAACATACAAGTTTTTATCTGTCAGAATAAAAACTATGAACATTGCCATCTCCGTTTTTATTCTTCAATATATATTCTCAATAATATGGCAGATATAAGAATTGGTCGGACTGAGTCCTCGATAATAATATTTGTGGCTTGGATTTCATCAGTGCTGTAGTGAGTACATTCATAATGTTTAAGTGTTTTTACTAGAATATTTAAGTGTTACTACTTACTAGAATATTTGTCATGGTAGTTATTTGATTCATTACTTCTCGCATTAGTTTTATCATTTCTTTAATTTCACTCACCAATGCATCGCTGTGTAGATTATTTTTATTGGACGAAACTTGATTAATTTGGCTGGCAGCAACTTGAGCGTAAGTTTGCTGAGAGGTTTTATTTGGAATAGCTTGACCTGGAGGTGCGCGTGCAGCTTGAGCGAAAGTTTGCTGTTTTTCGTGTTGTTCTTGATGCTGATTAGTTGAGAGTGCAATTTCAGGATTAGGTTTTAGAAATTTTTGTCTAAATGGTGGAAAAGTAGACGCTTTTTTTATGCACTAAACATCTCTTGTAGTTTGCTGGGTGATGACCATCACAAAGAACACATTTGACATCATTTGTTTTGGATTTTCTTTCGCAGTCAGCCGATGCGTGACTACCAGCTCACTTAATGCTTTTGGGTTGTCTTCTGCATCCTGATTTAGTGTAGTTTGAAAGAATTTATAGTTATTATATTATTATTATAATTATCAATATCTTCTTTTTGGCAACCTTATGCGTTTTATAAATAGAAAAATACTAATATTTTTTTTTATTTTATTAAATACATGGCACGCCGACGGGGAATTGAACCCGTCTTTCCCGCGTGGCAAGCGGGCATGCAATCCACTATACTGTGGAGGAGGGATGATACAAATATTATTTTATAATTATTTTATTTTTTTTATTAATTTTATAGTTATTTCATTTATTTGACAGCGGCATATGCTAAATAAAAATTAAATAAAAATTAGTTGATTAAATTTTATTTTTTTTTGTGTTTGCCAAATTCTTCGTATTTCGTGTCGTCATTGTTCGTAACAAAACCGTCACTTTTTCTATTTTATTTTTATTCTATTTTCTATTTTTCTATTATTTTACTGTTAAAAGGTATGAAAAATTATATTTTATTTACAATCCTGTTAAAAAAGTCCTCTTACCAATACGCAACCGGAAACGGGAGTCGTGGCGGAATTTCTGTTCGAGCATGAAGGGTACCTCTGAAGTAAGTCGGTTACAAAAGATGGACACCAAAGATCCGGTCTCAAGACTTGGTTTAACCCGAAAGAAGGATGGTACAATGACGGAGACAGTAGGTGAGTCATTGAGTACTCTCATGGAGATCCATTTTCCAGGAAGTTTCAAATCACTGGCGCTCTCCCAAAAGGGGAATGAACAGAGAGGAAAGATTTGATGCAGAAGGGATAGTGACCATAAATGCAGTTAGGAATGCCATTTTGACAGTCGCTCCATTTAAGTCACCGAGGTTAGATGGCATATTTCCAGCACTCCTGCGATGGGGAATTGATCTGCTCACAGTTAGGCTCACGGAGATATTCAGGACGTCACTGGCAACAAGGTACGTCCCTAAAGCTTGGAGAGAGTCAAGGGTGACTTTTCTACCAAAGCCAGGAAAGAAGGATTACACAAAAGCAAAGTCATTTAGGCCAGTTAGCCTTACCTCTTTCATGCTTAAAGCTATGGAAAAGGTAATAGTGGACTACCTAGAATGCACCACACTAATGAAATATCTTTTAAGCAGATGTCAACTTCCTATAGGGCGGGGAGATCCACAGAGACTGCCCTGCACGAAGTCGTGAGGACAGCTGAGAGAGAGCTGACTTCAGAAGGCATTTCGAAGTAAGCTTTGATAAATTAAAATCTGCTCTAGCTGACCGAGAAGTCGGTTCACTTATTATTGGATGCATAGATTTCATGCTAAGGCAAAGAGCTGTAAATCTACAAAATGGAAGACATAGACTGAGAGGCAGAGCAGTCAGAGGCTGCCCACAGGGAGGGGTGCTTTCACCATTTCTGTGGAACGTGACCATAGACTCTCTACTACAACAGCGTGACTTCAAAGGCATACAAACAATTGGGTATGCGGACGATATAGCACTGATGGTGAATGGCAAGTTTCCAGACACCATTAGAAACGTGATGAGAGGTGCTCTCAAATGCGTCGAAAAATGGTGTAGAGAACAAGGCCTGGCCATCAATGTCACGAAATCAGACACTATCCTCTTCACGAGGAAGAGAAGTCTGTCAATGGAGCCCTTACAACTTTTCGATAATAACATTCGCATTTCAAAGTCAGTGAAGTATCTAGGTGTTGTCCTAGATAATAAACTGACTTGTAAGAGAGTCTGCGGAAAACGATGGGGGATATCCCCAAAATCGATGCACTGGATCTATACGATGATGGTCAGACCTATTATAACATATCCGTCAGTTGTCTGGTGGTGTAAAGTCACCCAAAAGACAATAAAAACGAAACTAGATAGAGTCCAGCGACTAGCCTGTGTTGGAATAACAGGCGCTATGCGAACTACACCAACACCAGTATTAGAGGCGGTGCTAGGTTTGCTTCCGTTGGATTTACATATAAAGAAAACGGCGGCACTGGGAGCAATTCGCATGAACCGGAGCTCCACATGGAAAAACTTCGGAAAATTAGTGGGCCATCGTAAGATTCTTGATCTCGTCCAGACTGCGGCCAAGGAAACGCAGATGCCATTGGAGACTATGAGGAGAGTTAATGGGACAGAAGTGTCCTATAGAACACTGATAGTAAATGGCCTTCTACATAATGAATGTGAAAGGAATGACACCTATTGGATCTGGATCACCTATTGGATTGTCAGGTGTATCAGAAAAAGATTCTGATAGCGCTAGACAACCAAGCAGTTATCAAAAGCATGCAAAAGACATACATAACTAACAGCTTAGTACAAGAATGTGTAACGAAGCTCATGGAATGTGCTCATGGAAATGAGGTGACGATCATGTGGGTTAAAGGACACATCGGTATTGAGCAAAACAAGAAGGCAGATGAACTTGCAAAGCAAGGATCAAGCCATAATTTCTGTGGCCCGGAGCCCAGAATACCATTGGGGTACAGCATGACGGCAGCCTGTGTCTATAAGTGGATAACCTCACTTCATCTTAATAGATGGAGAGAATTGAGCACTTGTAGACAGACCAAACTCATGTTACCAAAACCGTGGGCCAGAGAAGCGATAAAGGTGCTTAGCTATTCGAGGAGCACCCTAAGCTGGCTGACCTCACTAATTACTGGACATGGCAACTTCAAGTATCACCTCAAAAAGATAACTCTTGCTGAGGAAGACACTTGCAGACTATGTCTAGAAGAAAAGGAGACAGCGGTGCATTATTGTGCCAATGTCCAGCACTGGCAAGTAGGAGGAAGACTGTCTTGGGACACCATTGGGTTGGTGACGACTTGGGAGGAAACCTCAAGGTAAATGAATTGCTTGCATTAACAAAAGATGTAGTTATGCGAACGGAAGCCACTCCAGCTTTAACTCAATAACAACATCCGAGAATCGAAGGGCGAAAAAGGACCCAAGTCGTATCGTGGTCTACTTCGACTAATCCTTCACTTCAGTGGGGCCACTTGTTGGACAGTGCGCTGTCCCAACGTCCCACCATATTTATACCAATAATTGCAAAGAATTATTACTCATTTTCGAAATTTAAACTTTAAATTTTATTATATGTTTTGCATACATAAGCCAAATAGTACGTTTCCATTGCTTACTTAGTAAGCGTAACTTACTGAGTAAATTTCATTATCATATAAAGAGCTTTCACTTACTATAGAATACAGTAAATAAAATTCGACCAAAATCATACCAAAAAAGACGAATGCAACATTGGAAATGATCAAAATTTGACATATTTAACATATGAAACAAAATGTAAACATAAACAAATAATAAAAAAATCGAAAAATCAAAACAAACAAGAAGTAAGAATTTTTTTTAAACATTTATTTTTTTTATAAATAAAATATATATATATTATATAAAAATAAGTTTATATATCAAATATATATATCATATCATTACAAAATATCATATATTATTTAACAAAAAATATTTATTTCACATTAATATTGTAGTAGTATAAGTATTGTAGTTGTATGGTAGTATATAAGTATTGTAGTCATAAGGTGGAATTAAGCAAACACATGTAAACTAAGGTAGAATTAAGAGAAAGAGCAATAAAAGCGAACAGTTGTTTTACTACCGTCGTTACTACCGTAACACACAAACAGACGTGTGTTATTTTCTACTAAAATATTAGGAAAGCAATAATTGAGATCTCACAAGTTTGATTTATAAATTTATAAATTGAATATTTATATTTCAATTTATAAATTGAATATTGTGTTTAAGGTAAAAAAAAAATCACCTGGAATGCGTGTGGGACCGAAGAACTGTGAGAGGAAAATCTTCTTCAATGTGTGAAAAAGATGAAAGAGGTTACATGGGAACCGCGCTGAAATGCAAACGAAAGTGCACTTCACCCAACAGTTTAGGCAAGTGTTCATTAAGTGAAATTCCTGTTATATCATTACTTTTTTGTAATTAAAACTACGAACGTGTGCGAGTTAGGTTAAGTTGATGCTAAACCAAATGGGACTTTCTTTGTGATTTTTTGCACTGCACACATTTAGCCACTTATCCCAAAAAAGTGTTCGAGTTACATTTTGACAGCTTATATCAGCTGTGAATATGTTTTGATTTCAGTACCTTGTTTACGTATTTTGCAATAGCGGAGAACGTGCAAGTTGATGAAGCATTTTTATTTATGCAATTTCTCGAATTAATTTAATTAAATATTTGTCTTAACATATTGATAAAGAGATTCCTAGAAGAATATCCAAAGGTAATTATAAAATAATTTCAGTAAATAACATAACTTATCAGTTTGACTATTTAGCGCGAGCTTTTATGCCAAAGCGGATATTCCTCCGAAATATTTAGATCTGTTGTAAAAAAGAATAATTCGGTCATAAAAAAAATTGAAATTCCCGCACCAAATGAAGAAATTCGTTTAGATATTCTCAAAATTCATTCGCGTAAAATGAACTTAACCCGCGGCATTAATTTGCGTAAAATAGCTAAACTTGTACCGGGAGCTTCTGGTGCAGAAGTTAAAGGCGTTTGTATGGAAGCTGGTATGTACGCATTGCGTGAGCGTCATGTGCATGTTGCTCAAGAAGATTTTGAAATGGCTGCCGCTAAAGTAATGCAGAAGGATTCAGACAAGAACATGTCTATTAAAAAATTATAGAAGTAAATTTTAAAACTTTTATATATTTATACATCGAGTATCATAAAATGATTATTGATTTGTAATTGAATTATCATTTCTTGGATCTTCACAATTAAAAATTTAAAACTTAGAACATTTACGTTTTTTGTATTTGCTTATTTTTTATGAGAAACACATAATTAATTTTTTTTTGTCAATAAAAGCGGATTTCAAAAGGCTGTATATCTTTACAGCTGACTTCAGAAGAACATCAAACTGGAGTCTTCACGTCCCATGTATAGGCTGCAGTAGCGAGTGTGTTGCCCATCAGAGCATAACAATTTAAGAAATCGGTTTTTGGCATTGAATAATTTTTGACAATGAATTTGCATTGTATTTTTCATATAATATGTTATAATCCGAAAGCAGGGTAGTCTAACAGGTACTACAACACCTGCAGAAGGGCAGGAACATAGTTGTGGATTAGATTAATTGTTGGTTTCTAATATGTTGGTCCTATTACTGCGTCTTGTATCACAGTTGTAGATGATTTTAGTTTATATAAAAAATGTTTTGCCACTATTGTCACTAAGAACTTTAGAGAAAGTTTCACCGTTCGTAAGAAAAAGAGATCAAGTAGGATTCAATAAATCAAAGCACTTATCTCGGCTTCAACAACAAAATTTTAGCAGAAATTGCATAAATTATGGCAGTGATTCTCGACTCAAGACATGCTGTAGACCAAAAAAATATTCAATGTATTTTACAAACAAATTATTAAAAGCAACTGGTGCAAAGAGAAGTACCAATATTTTCCAAACAAATAATATCGTTAAGGGCAAAAATTCAATATTTTATAGGCTAGCGGTCTTAATCGTGTATCAGCGTATGAGTAATCGTGTATGAGTAACACTGGTTTAAGGTATACTCTTATTTTGAAGTTATTTAGACCACCATCATTCAGAGTTAACTGTCACAAAGTATAATTAAATTTACTTTTAAACAAAGTAAAAAATTCAAGAAATAATTCAAATTCAAATTTTATTTTATTTATTAATGAATTACTAAAACCGTATTGACAATCATTACAAGATCTGAATTAAAAGGTAAGTCAAAAATTGTATTTGTTATGAAGGCAACAGCATACGAATATCATTATTTTCAGTAACATCGCAACATGTTTGATCATTTGTATCAATAAGTTTACTATTTGCATTAAATGATAGTAAGGACGTACTCAATCAACGTGACCACCACTAGCATCATAATGTAACGCAGTCTGTTCGTCACCATCACGTAAATTTACATTAGCATCCGAATTGAGTAAAAAATATAAAATTTCCAGTGCATTGTGATCTGCTGCCCTGTGGATTAAATAAATGCCATTTTCGTCTAAATCAGATTGGCTTCTTTGACAAAATCAAAAACACCTGTTTCATGTCCAGCTTTTTGTACTACATCATTTCGCGATAGCTCAGTGAAATGAACTACCCAACTTAAGGCAGGTTTAAATTAAAGGCAGGTGCACTTTTTAACTTTGGCTGTCAAAGTGGATCAAATTGTTTTACCTTTTCAATATATAAATTGTTTACAAATAATATTGAACACAAATAAAATTATTCAAATGTCAAAATTACCAAAACAATATTGCCAATTCAATGAAAGGAAATTCAATTATTTTTTTGGAAACAGCCACTATAATAAAATTTTATCAAATAAATATTTATAATATTTAATAAAAGTAATAAAAATTTCAGAAAATGCAAATATTTACCTAATTTATCGCAAATGCTTATTATATAATGAAAAATATATGCAAGAGGTGATCACTTTTCAATTAAAAGTTTTCTAATAACGATAATTAATTTTTTAATACAAATAAAACAAAACGTTTTAATAAAATTATATTTTATTGTCATTTTCTATATTCATATATTCATTTAAATTCACGTATGAAAATATTATCTTATGAAAATACTAAAATGACAGCCTTTGCGATTTAGTCTCGACTTAGCCATCTCGAAAATGTGTTATCACTACATATTCGACACAACTTAGAATTTCCCTCATTTAGAACGCAAATTAGCCTAACTCGCACACAACATACTTAATCTTTTACGATTAATATTTGATGTTTTATTTAATAGTTAATATAGTATAATGAATAACATATGTTACTAAGTTTTATGTTAACTACTTTTCTCTTTTATTTTAAAACAGAAAGAATCAGCAATGTGTTGTGGTTTACAACGGAGGTCCGGTCATCGTGAAAGTTTGTCAATATCGGGTATAGAATTTTGGAGAACTTGCCTATTGACAATTTGTATCAATCTATGATAGCCATCTTCGCCGTTACTGCTAGCATCGTCAACATTGTCGTCGACATCTTTGAAGTCTAAAAAGAACTAGGTGTGTTCTAGGTGTGAAAAGAAAAATCAATGATAACTGACTAAATTTTTTTTATTTTTAAAAAATTATAAATTATTATAATTTTTAAACATAATAATATAAATTTTTTATAAATTTTATAATTATATAAAATATAATTACATAAAGAGTATATATTTTTTATTGTTTTTATTCTTAATTTATAAGTTATTAGTGTTATTATTAGCTATTAGTAACATAAAAATAAAACTTACTGAAAATTTGAAACTACACATCGACCTTTTTCGTCTCCATTTGGATTGTTGCTGTTTAGCGTTCCAGCTCGGTTTGAAGTCTTCTGTTGTCTTCTCAGAACCGACATACGGATTTCATTTTTATCTAAAATAGCAGTAAAATTTTATTCTTTATTTAATAATATTTACCCTGAAATTATTTTCGGTGTCAATTTGTATCTTAGTTTCGTGTATATTGTCCCTGGTTAGAGAAACAATATGAAAAGTATTGCTACCAATCAGACGTGCTAGGAGTGTAACAAGGGTATTTGAACTGTGTTCACGCAGATAAATTGGAGGGGGCTTAAACTTTTTGGTAGTAGGCAGAACAGCTTCCTCCATAGATTCTGCTAGTTCAACAAATCTAAAAAAGTACGGTTGTGGGTGCACTATCTATGTTAGTTTTATTTATTTTGGCACCTTTTAAATTGCCCGTTTGGGGACTAAGTTGCCGTTTAATATTGACATAGCGTTCCATGTATGTTTGGATTTTAGTTTTATGTTATGGACTAGCTATGTCGGGAACTGCAAGCGATGCTGCTGAAGATACGTTTTGTAAGCTTTTATCAGTTTGTGTAGTTTTCTGTGGCAACTTGTTTGATACGTCTATTACTAGACAAGCATTACGTTTTGTTTGGAATGCTTATCGTATGTCTTCTCTCTGGGGCAGTATTTGAATTACTCATTTACGTGGTTATGTATGCAAATGGCAGGTTTGCTAAAAGATTTACTTATTTTTCTGGTGTTAAAATAAGATGAAATACAATAAGCTTCAATAAGATAAAGCTAAATTTAATACAAATATAAATAAAAATGAAATTAAATTGATATAAAGAGGTTTTTTCGAACAGTAGTGAACTACAACAACAAAAATTTTATTTTTAATATTATTTTAATCAAATCCAAGATCTCCCTAATCGACCTAGTAGGAAATGCAACCCACCGTGATGGACTTAGGTCTTTTACGAAAGGAATATAAGAGACTATGCAATAGGGCAAATTAAACAATTGTGAGAGTGACTGGTTAAAATACAAGATCTCTCTCCAAAAATATAAGAAAAATGTACAAAGGTCCAAGAGAACTAGTTGGCAGTAATGCTGTCAGGAAGTAAACAGCAATTCCGAAACCTCTAGACTACGTAAAATCCAATCCAAAAATCCATCTGTCCCTGAATTACTCAAAAAATGTGATGGGACATGATGTAACAATAGTATTGTATCATTAGAATCACTATTACTCTCTTTCCGGGATCCTCTATATCGGTAATTGCATCCACGGACTGCCTTAATCTCTCATCGGTAAGTTCTATTATTAAATGTGCTATTTTTAGTTTTAAGCCCTATAAATCACCAGGACGGGATGGTATACATTCAATTGAGCTCCCAAATTCCTGATAGGTAATACACAACCGGTTTCCTGTCATTTTTAGACATTGTTTCATTTTCAGTAATGTTCCGACTAAATTGAGGGAGATTAGAGTAGTTTTTATACTCAAAGCAGAAAAAACCTCAAATCATAACCCCAATGAACTCCGTCCAATAAACCTCTCATCTTTCATGTTAAAGACTCTTGAAAGAACTATACATGTAGATTAAAGCGTCCTGTAAACACCAATCAGTGGTCTCTCTCACTGCATGCCTACACTAAGGGAAAATCTATAAAATTGAAAAATCCAAACTGAAAGAATTTTTTTTTAACAATATACTCCCAAGTGCAATAGTAAGCATCTGGGTGTTGATGATGCGTTCATTAGCTTTATAAATCAGGAAGGATCCAAAACAAGAAATGGCATGGACAGTGGAATTTTCTCAGAGGAATGAAATAAATCTTCCTACTTTAGGATTCCAGATCTTTGTAGTATCTTTCAGATGGAAGTGATCGCCATTAGGGAAGCTATAGCTTCTTTGAATGTAGATGATATATTTGGAAAGAATATATAAATATTATCAAACAATCAAGCTGCTTCAAGCGCTTGAGTTCAGTCCAATTTACATCTAGGACGGTTTTTGACTGCTATACATCTATAAACGAAATATTGACGCAGCTCAATATTTCTCTAATCTGAGTTCCCGGCCATTGGGATATTTTCAGCAATTGCAGAGCATACGAGCTAGCCAGAAAGGGTGCTTCAGGACCATACTCGGAACACCAAAACAATCCGGACATATCGTTAACATCATGTGAATTGTTGCTGAATTATTTCTGTACTGAAATTTTTAACAAAAGATGGGAAGACTCAACGATATGCAGGCATCTGTATGCAATGCCTGCATATCGATAAAAGGAAATCCTTCCGATTAAAGGAAATCCAAAATTCTTTACTTACAGGTCACTATAAACTAGAGAATCACGCTAAAAGATTAGGTCTCCCTTTCAATCAAATCTGTCGCAGCTGTGGAAAAGACGATCAGAGTGCCTCTCATCGACTATGTTTTTGCCCAGCTCATGCACGGGGACGACTTAATACTTTAGAAGCCACTTTCTTCAGGACCTGGACCAGTTACAAAACTTGACACTAAATACCATTTTATGCTTCGCCAAAGGTTCTAGGTGGTTTTAAACCCTGAGATATTCCTATATATACGATAACAAAATGGGCCAATAGGCCCATCCACTAGGAATAACCTAACCTAATCGTGGTTCAGTAGCTTTAATTTACTTCACTGCTGTCCTTCTCTCCTAGTGGAGCATAGGGCCTCAAGGTTTCCTCTTAATCTTACTCTGTTGCTTGTTTCTCTCGAAATTTAGTTCCAGGAGTTCTGTGCGTCTTTAAGCTCCTGATCCACGATTCTTCGCTGTATCTTAGCTGGGGCATCTCACCTTTTTTTTAGTGACAGTAGGTGGAAACATCGAAAGCCACTATGTGAGACTTCAACCCACCAAACTACCTCTTAGGAATGAATGGAGAAAATTTCCACAGCATTGTGAAATGAATCCAATAATCAGGGGAGAGAAAGAAAAATAGACTTAGTACCAAGCGAGCTGGATTTTTCTAAGTGAGAAAGCAAGGACATACACTAAGGAAACTGGGTTATAGAGAAGGGGATGGGGTTATGGCAGATGAGTGGGGTGAGGATAGCGGTAAACTTTGTGACTGAGGTTACGGAAGTCGCGGTTATAGGGGGATGGAGTGGAGGTTACGATTCCCCTCATCAAAGTACTGGGACAGGTATTGGAGGGCTTTAAAGCATAAGGATAGAACAAGATCTTTAGGGAGGGTAATGGGAATAGAAACGTTAGGAGAAAGATCATGTAGGTACCTACGGACGAGTGTCAAAAGGTACTCTTCAATGCGAGTGATCTTAACATTGTCGTAAGGGACAAAGATGGAGAAGTGCTTGCCCTCAGGCTTGCGCTTATAATTGGTGCAATCCCAAAGAAGTTTCCGCTCAAACAGGCTTATTCTTTCCATTTGGATGGAAGAGATTTCAGACCAAATGGGGAAGGCGTAGGTGAGGAGGGGGCGAATTTGCTTTTTATAGCAGAGTAGCTTAAATTTGCAGTTAACCTGGTTGTGTCTTCGAAATGCATTTTAGAAGTTAATATGCTAGAACCGGGAGTTGCGGATGGTATAGTCAACGTGGGGGATAAAATTATGTTGCAAGGAAAAAACAATGCCAAGATACTTCAGCTTGGGAACTAGCTGAATGGGAGTGTTGTTGAGTCTGAGCTCGATGTCGGAGATATCAAAACGGCTGGTGCTATCACGCTGCTAGCCTAGAAACGCAATAGCAGAAATCTTTGTGAGGTTGAGCTTAATTTTCTACCTGATTAGTCAAAAAGGGATTCAAGGTGGGCATTAAGCTCATCGGAAATGCGGCGGGGGTTAGACGACCGAGCTTCATCACCAATTTGAATGGATGGAGGATCTTAGATAGTGTAACCGCTACAAATTACTTTTTTTCATA